AATGAGTGGTTTTTAAAGCTTGGGACGTTGTCAGTTCCCCTCGTCGTGTTATGACGATCAGAATGATATATAATGTTGCGGGGTTTCGTTGAGACCCCGCGGAGATCTGCGACCAGAGCCAAATGCCCCGTCGGCTCTGGTCCGTCTCCGCTGCTCGTCTGCGTCTCCGCGCGCTGCGCGCTACCTCGCTACCCCAAACGCGGGGCGCGGGGCATTTGGCTCTGATACCCTTTTCTTCGCTGTTTCGGACCCAAAGTTTGCAAGCTATATATCATTTTGAAGCTCCTGATCTCTATTTTCACGCTGACAACGTCCCAGAACCACATTTTTTGATTTGATCGAGAAATCCGGCAAAAACCTTGTTTTCGAAAATCTCTTGTTTTTCTCCTAGCTTAACTCTTTTCACGCGCTTTTTTCGTGCATTCTATAGATCTTGCTGCTGTTCATATTGCAGACAACCACCCAGCCCTTATCTCCTCGATTATGGTGAAATTTTTTGCGACAAATCGTAAAAAGTGCGTTTTTCTTTACCTTGTCCTGTTTCAGTTCTTTCGCATCGATTTTTTTTTCCAGCTTGGGCTATTATTGCTCAGAGCAATAATCGCAACAATCCAGACAACGTCCCAGGACACAGGAACGTCAATGCAGGGTAAAAATTTAAAGGACGCATCAAAAATCAAAACCCCGTGTTGCGTTATTGCTGGTCCTGGAGCGAAAACTTGCACTCTGAAAAGCCGCCAAATGAAAGATTTCGAACCTCATTGCACCGTTTTTATCCGGTTTACAGCGATTTCTTTTGCTTTTTATATCTGTTTTACGCCATTTTCTCTTCTCTGATTTTCTTCAAACAACCTTCACTATTTATGACGTCAGACGTTCAAACAACCTTCACTTTTGGCGTCCTGTCTCTGGACTATCGAAGGTATGGTGGCCATTAACGAGCACGCCGCCGCAAGCACTGACTGTCAGAGTGAGTGTATCAAGTGCGAAGGAACCGCTGTGCAGGAACGAAAAGCAGGAAGGAGGTCGTGCGACACAAGATGAACCCTCAACATTCGTGGTGAGAAAATTTCACTGCTAAACGTTGGAGGCGTTTGCTTTGTGGTCCACAAATCTATCGTCCATGTTGTCAATTTGCATGGTATCCTATCAAGTTGACTAGCCAACCTGTGATTGGACCTCCACGCCAGAGGATCATCAGCATCATCAAACTGCCACTCCCAGCGTCAGCAGCTGATCACTTAGAAGGAGATGCTTTCTGCGAAAATGCGGAGAAGGTCGTCCGCAACGAGAAGTCCTTCTACAAGCTTGTTGTGGGCGACTTCAACGCGAAAATCGGGATGCCACAAAAAGAAGAATATAGGATTGGGAAGGTTTGGATATGGGCTCCGGAACGAAAACGGCAACCGTCTCGTTGAGTTTCTTCCCACCCAACGACTCTTCCAACTCCATCTTCATAAAGAAAGAACATCGCCGGTGGACATGAAAATCGCCTAACGGAACGACGCACGAATATTAATCACATACTCATCAACCAAATGTGGAGTTTGCTCCATGTCCCAGTAGTTCCTTCTGCAGCGGCTCCGATCACCTTCTCCTTCGAGGGAAGATACGATTCAGTCGAAGGCTGGAAAAGAAGGTCTGTCACAGTATCGCCAAAAGGAAGGAAATCCTTTGAGACGGAACACGCTGGAAGAGCTCATATCGAATTGTGACTGGCCCATCGAGGAAGACCCAACGTACGACCACGACCGGCTTCTGAAAGGATTGCGAGCCTGCGAAGAGTGCGCCTCCGTGGATTCTGAGAAGAACTTGGGTCGATCTCAAAGACCACCAAGGAATTACTCAAAAGAAAAAGATCCCTGAGGCAAGATCCGATTGCAACCCACCTCGAGCAACTGATAGCCAACACGGTTGCAGGCACAGCTTTTCAGGAGGATCTCGGGAAGTACAGGCAAGCCAAGATGCAAACAGCCGAAGGAGGACGAAAACTCAAGAAGTGCAGGACCTCTGCTAATATACATGCACTATTCAACGAAGACGGGATTCCGACTTCTTCTCGATACAGAGTGGAATGTCGCGAGAACCTCTACACTAGATTCTATCGTTCATCAACATGCATGCCAATGCCCTTTGCTCCCACAGAAGAAGTGCCAAAATTCTATCTTTTGAAGAGCGCAGTAAGATCCAGATCATGAAAACGTCCATTGCTCCAGGACCAGAACATCTTTCCTTCGTTCTGCGGACTGGAGGACAACGTCGCTCAACAATGTTGCTCCTGACATCTTACCTTCAGAAGGAAAGGATTCTCGAGCAGTGGAGAACGTCAAAAACCGTCCTTCTCTTCAAGAATTGCGAGCGGGAGAATTTCTGGAACTACCTTTCAATATGTCTGTTGAGTTCGTTGTACAAGCTTTTCATGATTGTTATCCTCGCTCGCATATCTAGGACACTGGATAAAGCCCAACCTCAAGAACAAGCTGGTCGTAAAGGAGTCAGCTGCATGGACCACATCCAGTTTCGAGGGTCATAGAAGTCTGCCGGAAATACCGACTGCCTCTCGTCTTAACCTTTGTCGACTACGAGAAGCCCTTCGACAGCGTCGAAACGAACGCAATTCTGTCAGCGTTAGTCGATCAAGGACTGGATCTAGCTTACGTGAGGACACTTACTAAGCGATTGCTATAAGGACTGCACAACAAAGATGCAGCTATTCCATCGCCTCCTGACTATTTTAATTGGGAAGGGGGTTCTACAAGGCGACACTTTTTCGCAGAAGCTGTTCACCGCGGCCATGCAGTGGGTGATGAAGTCAATGAATTGAGCGAGAGAGGCATACGAGTTGATGGAGGATTTCTATCGAATCTTCGTGGACGACATCGTTCTGTTCTCGAGCAAAATCACTGAAGCAGAGGCCATGCTAAAGGAACTAAACGAAGTAGGGTAGAAGATTGGACTGCGAATCAATCGGAAAAGACTCAGTTTATGAAGAACGCCCTTTGCGTAGATGCAGAAATGAAACTGGAAGACACCCCTATCATGGAGACGTCTTCTTACGTGTATCTCGGACGTTGATGAACATGGAGAACGACTTGAGGGAAGAACTTAACAGGAGAAGAAGAGCAGCCTGACCCGCCTTCGGGCCTTTGAAGGAAGCCACTGATCAACTGACGGACCCGGAGCTCCGTGCCCACCTTCGACTCAACCGTTCTCCCGGCGCTCTATTACGCAGCTGAGACTTAGGCCGACACTGTAGCCACGTCGAAAGCTCTACGGACCACCCACAGAGCGTTCAGGCGCAGTCTTCTAAAGATGACCCGACACAAGCAACATGTAGTCGGAATTCGAAGTACGGTTATGAGAAGAATGTCTTGTCTTCGTGACCCAGCGAATACGTTGCGAAAGCGAAACACCGATGGGCCGGTCACATTGTGAGAAGAACAGACGACAGATGGACGCTAAGAACATCTGCTCGCGAAGCCAAACGTTCGCGAGGAAAACCACCAACGAGATGGGCAGACGTGTTCGTGAAACGGATAGACCAGCTGAAAAATCAGCTGGATACGATTACCGCACCAGGAACTCGTGGACGCAGCCACCGACGACAACGAAGAAGATTGTGGATGTGCGAGAGATAGGGACAAATGGAGACTTCTGTGCTGGAACCTGCACGTCAAGTTAAGCCGGGACATCTAAGTATCTAAGTAAGTAAGTCAGTAAAGTTTGTTGAAAGGAAAGGGATTCAGTTTCATTAAAGCATAATCAATTTACTTGTTTTGCTACTAATTGCACATTGTCTATACGACAAAGGATAAAGGATTTGACTCTCTGCGGGCAATTGCCCATTGCATCCTTTTCGTAGACAAAGAAGCAACTGTTGCAACTTTTGCAATGCGAGGGCAAACCGACTACCTAGTCAGTGCTTTCATTCTCCCAGGTCACTCTGCTATCGACTTACCATCCTCGGAGCTTGGTTGGCCAGAGAGCAAGATCGAACTTTGGTCTTACCCGTTTACAGCTCGCCTAAACACCACGCCACTTTCTCCTCCAATGTTTGGTATTTCGATTATTCCGCACGCTACAGAAACATAAAAGGTTAGATTACTTTTGCAGGACGTAAAGCTAGCTTCATTGGCAAAGCACTTGCAAATTTGGTACACAAAACCGAGGACTAGTTTTTTAGACTTTAATTTAGGGGATCAATGCGGAGTCACTAAGCACAGTATCGCTACACCTGTCACTTTTTGAGACGTCTCTCTGATGAAACAAAGACTCATTCCGTTTCGAAATCGCGAAGCATGTGATGAGGCTACGACAGAATGATAGAATAATAGAAATTCTGCTTTATTGTCGTAGCTGTCCGCCGCAGCGGATAGTTCTGTGGAAAGATGCAGGCTCTACTAATTATTGAGGTACGTTTTATAGTTGAGGTAGATGTAGATAATGTAGTAAAATTTCTGCACTTTTTAGGCTGTTTTGATTGTCAGCGTCTTCTCACAAAACGAAGGTTTGTTTGAATTTTTATTTGCTGCTATTTCAGGCTGCTGCATTGTCCGATTTGAATTTTCCAATTCAATGAACATAACTTCCTTCAAAATCAACTTTTTCCCATAGTCTTAGTTTCTGTGTGTTGAGCTGCTCTTAAGCTGTCAGAGAAATACTAGCTCTTGCAGCGAACCTGTTGAAGAAGAAGCAAGAATCTAAGATTCACAGCGTTCCAAACTTGTCTTTTTTGATACGACATGCTCCCTAATAAGAACTGACATGCACATTGAGTAGCTATGGGTAGATAGAGAAAATCTCGAAGATTACTCTACGGCCTGAAGGTACCCAAAGGATCTTCGCGCCAAGAGAATTTTAACGGAATGGAAACGAAGCCGGTTTTCAACCTCGATTTAGTACATGTATGTAGGCCTACTTTCAAATCATGAAAATTTTACATTTGCTGAGATGGGTGAAAAGTCACTGGTGGCCGGGCTCTGCTAGCTTTTGCTTCCTCTAGCACCTTCAACACTGAACTTATCGATGGCCTTTAATTCACGGAAAGTCATTGCTTGTAGAACTTCTGTAGTAATAATTGTTCTTCAACAACAAATTTTACTAGCAAGATGTTTTTTTCAATGAAAGTAAGTTTGTGCATACACCTGGATTGTCTCAACCTTATTCCGTGCACAATACAAGGACTTGACTCGCGAACATATTGTGGAGGTTTTCCCGCAAGAACATTTTCTTAACTGAAAAGGTGTCTCGACCATCTGGGGATCATAGGCCTACAATCTCGTCAAATTGAATATTTTTCAAAATATGATGTGTTAGAAAGAGCAAGAAAAGCGCTTTCTAATGGTATAAAAACGCATCAAGAATGAAAATCTCTTAGTACGGTTGCTTCGAACACGAGGCGAAAAAATCAGTTAGAACTTATCCAGCAGCCTAATATCAGGGTGATATAAAAGTGATGGGACACCTAGAGAATAAATGCAGTTTTTTCGAACAGAAAACCTATTTGGAAATCCAAGTTTTAGCAGATGTTAGTGCATAATAAAACCTTCTGATCGAAGCCCATAGATGGGCACTTTCACATAGCGTTATTTAATAAGCGCTCAAAATCAAAGCTCATCACTTTGAGTAATTTGGAACTTTGTGCAGCACCGCCGCAATAAAACAAGTAAGCCTATCAAAATATCTGCGCAGCAATGCGTGAGAGGACTATCACCAAATCCAGGATAGCCTAGTAGTCAATGCTTTGAAACAGGAGATATAGCAATGGGCATTAGGAGAAAATTATTAACTCTCTCATCAAAGTGACCGAATGAGTTTACCCTTGACAGCTGTTATCTGATAGAGCTCTTTAGGTTCTATCCATACATATGCAATTTATCTGGACTTCTCTCATTTTCAGGAAATTATGGGAAAATATGATTTTTAGCCTGAAAATCTGCGTCGAACATTTTTCGAACAAAGTGCCTCTTTTATACGAAATGATGAAGAATCTCTGTACATTTAAGTACACATTAGAAAGAGTTTGAAAAGCTCTTTCTAGCTGTATGTTATTCGTCTAGGGACTTTCGAGTACAGCAGCACGAATTTGGATGGCGTTCAAAAAAGTCTGCGAGTCCCTCGAAGCGCCGCTCGAAGGATTGAGGGTGAGGTGCTGCAAGGTGCTGTCAGGATAACCCGCGAAGGTCACTTTATACAAGAACCTTAAAATTGCTGATTGTTCATAATTAATCAGAAAGAGACCTTGAAAATGTTCAAAAAATTAAGATGCTCCATTACTTTTGGATCATCTTAATAGATGAGAGCCAGTTGCATTTTTTGAATAGAGATTTGAGCGGTATCGAGTGCATTGAAAAAAAGAAACCAACTACCACGATGCCGTTCACGTAGACTTTATGTCTGGAAACAATACATGCTTGAAAGTCTGAAAAAATTGACTCTAAGGGTGTGGCTCAACGATAAATATCAGAGAGAACAAAGGGACAAAGTTGTAATTCCAAATATACAAATAAATCTTTGTGAGGGTTTGATACTAATGCACAATATGGAAAGTGAGGTCTCAAGTAGAGAAAATCCTGCACAGTAGTACTTTTTTTAGTGAAATCCTATTCCCTAACTGCCAAACACTTATTTTCTGGAAGTTTGGATAATATCACATGACAACTGTCTTATGTGATGATTGAAGTATTGGCTTTCTCAGTCTCAGATACTCGACTGAGAGTAAAACGTGTAGAGCAAACGTTGACGCTTTGATCAAAATCATTTGAAACTATGCCAAGTTCTGGAGCAATTATGTAACAGCTTTTTGCAGATGCGATACAACATGGACTAGGGCGAGCGAGAGTGTATAGGTACCGAAATGAGGTAAGACTTATCAGAAAAGTGCAAATGTTATTCAGGTTTTTGGAATCTCAAATGCTCATTGACTTATTCTAAACAGCGCACACCTAAAATCGAACATGTATGAACCTCTTTTTCCTAACCGACATCAATAGTGCAGGCTTTTTGCCACATATCCTGTAATGTTAATCATAAGTTAACAGGCTTGTTTTAAATAGAACGAAAAGAGCAATAACTTTAGAACGACGTATTGTCTTTTAGTAAAGGGTATTTTTTTAAGGCGAGGATTTTGATGTATGATGCATGGGACACAACTATCAAGACCACTGGTCTATATAATTTTAAAGAACAGAGAGTCTCTACTCAATGTTTTGCTTACTTGGCGTAATCCGAACTGAAACATCTCCCAAGGCCCTCCGTTTGCAATAAGGGCGACTCCTGCCTAAAGTTGGAGAGCGTAGAGACGTTGCGAGTTTTTTATGGTTAGAACATAGCGGCAAGCTTCCACCGACAGTGGAGTAAAAATCGCGAGCCTCCACGTGTGAGACCGCTTGCGCGCACGTGGTGGGACAGCATGTTGTCCGCTGGACTCGCTCTTCAAATCAGGATGTAAGCAACTTAGCTCATCAAAATTCCGCAATGTTGTTGCTAAACTACTGCTTTTGAAAGTTTTTTTCAAAAATTGAAAGAAATGGCGTATCTATAAAATTTGATTGCACTATGCAGTGCCTTTGTCCCAAGCTTGAGCTTTACTCCATATCGGACTGTCTTACACCTTTTACAGGTAAACAGTGAACAACAGTCATATTGCAGGCTGCCAGAAGTGCACCCTTCATTGCTGAAACGCCCAAGGATCCAATTGCTTTTGACTTGATCGTCATCACCGATTCGGATACAAAAGCGGGAATAGGGACGTATCAGTGGGAAGCGGTGAAAAGAAGGGGAACTTTGTTTTTGAGCCCTGATTGGCAAGAAGCGCAAGTGAAGTGGATGAGCAATTCTGATGTTCACATAAAGTCGTACGTCTCGTTTTCTTGTAATCTTCCACCCAAAACCGCATTTACTGTGTTCAGGTTATACAGCTATAATGGACGAGGCATGGAAATGTCAGATTTAGTGAAGTTTGACGGTCACATACTAGCTCCTGATGACAAAACAGGAATCATCTTCGCAATCGAAAATGATAAGGTGCTAATGAAACGGCTAATGATTCAATGAGACATAATCTTAAAATCTTCGGGGTTTATGTTCAGGCAGTACCGTGGGTTATTCTCAGCTCTGGACCTGGAAACTCCACAAAGGGCATGAAAATAGAGTGGCTGACATTGAAAAACTCAACACTGTACGCGGGCGGGCAAGCTCTTGTAAGTTTGCAATATGAAGGAGTGCAAGTGATTAGAAATTATAAGCAATATCTACTTGCAGGATGAGGACAACATGTGGATCAAAACAATTACAAAGAGTGGAGAGGTGATGGAAAAAATTTTCAATTAGAAGAGAAGTAGACCTGTCCCAGTCTTTTTAGGTGCAGCACATAGACTGGAGAAATGAGTTCACAAAAGTTCGAAATTTTGCTGGTTATCCTGCTCCTGGCTATCTTACACATGAAGCTGTACAGTGGTCTGAAACTCATCAAAAATGGTTTTTCCTCCCTCGAAAAGCTTCAAAAACCAAATACGATGGAAAAGCTGATGAAACAAAGTAAAGTGAGCTCAATTTTAGCTTAATTCTCTAAAAGCAGACATTTAGGGGGGCAAACATCCTGATCACCGCTGATCCCACCTTTACAACGTTTGAAAAATTCACGATAGGCAATCTCACTCCAAAACGCGGCTTTTCGGCCTTTGTCTTCATACCTGGCACAGACGACCAATTGATGGTGGCGTTGAAAAGCAAGGAAGTTGGAGATATTACAGAAAGCTTTATAACAGTATTTGACATTCACGGTCATGTTCTATTGAAAGATCAAAAACTAGCAGGCAATTACAAATTCGAAGGACTGTTTATTGTATGATTAACAATAAATGTACGTGCTTTTTCTGCGTAGATGGAGATAGCGTTAAAACTTCCTAGAACACTTCTCACTTGGCACTGAAAAATTATTTTCTTTGTAGCATTGTTTAATTTTGCAACGTTCCCCTCCTAAATCAAGATCTTTGTTGATATTTCTAGCTTAGTAGTGATTACTGGTTATATAAAAAGAAACTGCTTCATTACACAACTTTCCAGTTGCCACTTGGCCACAAAAATTTCGCTCAAATGTATCCGAACTTCAATTGCAGATCTCTGGTAAGATTCGTGAATTGATGGAGACGTGCACCTCAAAAAGAGTTAAGTTGGCAGCTGACACCCTAATAGGCAAACAAGTTTTGCTCCTCACAAACTTTTCCATAATTCTTCAAACTCTATCCTCCTTCCCTAAACAGTATTGATAGCGACTCGTTACAATTCAATAAAAGATTGGCTGAAGGTTAGTTGAAGTGGCTTTCCCAGCGGCATACTTTGTGAGGCAGTTGGTCGACAAAATGGACCCTTCTCTGATTTTGTTGGACTTAGGTACTAAATTTCCAAGTAAACTATAGCCCAAACCCCGCCTGCCAATTCATACGCTAAGGCCTGAAAAATGCGCTTCAAAACTCCTTCAATACTCCGCCCAGCCCACTTCTATTGAGTAGGCGAGGCCGGTTTTGAATCGCATTTTCAGAATTCAGCGCATGGATTAGTTGGTAGGGTTTGAGGTGCAGTTTACTTGGGAAATATACCACCTAAATTCACCAAAATCCCAAAAGGGTTCATTTTGCCGATCCACTGCCTTTCAGGCGCGAAGCACTACATTTGCATAATCTTTCTAAACACTCCTGAGCAAAGTTATCGAGAGCAGCCTTCATAAAATGATTAAAGCTAATTCTTTTGCGATAATTACCTTATACCTTATTAACCCATATGCAGCGTGAGCAAGGACATGAACTCGCGCATACTATGCCCACATTTTGCGATGAGCGATCTCGTCGTCGCGTTTTTGTCGCTCAAACCATCGAAGTTCCTGTGTGTGTGTGTGTGTGTGTGTGTGTGTGTGTGTGTGTGTGTGTGTGTGTGTGTGTGTGTGTGTGTGTGTGTGTGTGTGTGTGTGTGTGTGTGTGTGTGTGTGTGTGTGTGTGTGTGTGTGTGTGTGTGTGTGTGTGTGTGTGTGTGTGTGTGTGTGTGTGTGTGTGTGTGTGTGTGTGTGTGTGTGTGTGTGTGTGTGTGTGTGTGTGTGTGTGTGTGTGTGTGTGTGTGTGTGTGTGTGTGTGTGTGTGTGTGTGTGTGTGTGTGTGTGTGTGTGTGTGTGTGTGTGTGTGTGTGTGTGTGTGTGTGTGTGTGTGAACGATTCGGACCAAACTTGGCGCACATACACATCGGGCCCCGGCGGGTGTCATAGGCTACCTTTCGTTATCGATCGATATCGATTTTATCGATTTATTGCAATGTTTGAGCTACGGAGCTGGGAATTGGCACAGGGGAGTAATCGAGCATGCTGATTACGATACAATATTAGTTTTTGGAATTATCCGCTACTTTTATCGATTTTCCGATTTTTTTTTTTGCAAATTTTGAGCTACGGATTTGGGAGTTGGTACAGGGAGGGGGGAGGGGGGTAATCGAGCATGCTGATTACTAAATCAGCGGGAATAGGCAATTGGCATGTAGGCGTGGGCACAGGGAAAGGTTGTATTGTAGGGATGAGAGCTTTATCATAGTGTTTTGACAGGGCCGAACGGAGCCGGTTAAGTCAGCTAGTTTATATATATTAGGTTGGTCCAAAAGTTCTGTCCCTCCATTTTCAAAAAATCATAACGTGTTCCTAACACGATGTTTTTGCATGGCTAAAACCATATTGAAAAGAGCAATTCATGCCCTTTCTAGCCTTCAAATGAAAGAGACGAATTCTCATTTTTGCTTTTCAATCTTTTTGCCCCAAATTCATGAGGAATACCTGGATTAATTCCAAAAAATATGCGTAAGGATAAGGAAACTTTGTGCTACAAGATGCTATTTGAACGAAATATTCCATAGATTCTGAGCTGATAAATTCAATTGCGAACTTGAATGATCGTCGCGGCGATTCCGTGCCATATAAAACTTCAAAGCAACAGGCAACTGCAGATCTTTTACACTATTTAGCAAGGGTAGACCTAGTTCATTTGATGATAGAAAAGTGCTAGAGTTTTCTCACTTTCGAGCAGAGAAAAATGAAATAATTTCAAAAATGACCAATTTTTGAATCCACCGAGATGCCAATAAAAGTGAGTACTTTCGACTTTTTTGCGATATTTTCTTTCAAAAAATTTCCGTAAAATCCAAACTTGGCATTACTGCTCAAGATACCTTTGGCTACACGATGAGTGAAGTCTGCTTTATCCTACTTCATTTGAACATAAGTTATGCTCTCTCAAAATAGAAGCTTCTGAAAAAAGCTGTTGGCAATCTTCAGGCCAGAAAATCTTTTTTGTGATAGATACAGTCATTCAAAAGTATCTGTTTTATAGCCACTAAATTGACGGTTACAGCGGTTTTTATTGCGCTCAGAAAAGTCTTTTCAAAAAAGAATTATCTCGGTTGAAAGTTGAAGTATAGAAAACGTGCATTAATTATGATTCAACCTAATATATTAGGTCGTTTCAAAAGTAATTTCGCTTTTTTCAAACGGGCACCAGATTTGAAGGAACAAAGCTTTCTAAGAGATCTTAGAAGCATTCGATGCAGAATTTCATTCTCTTTCTAATGGTTATGATAATGTTGCAAAACAGTCAATAAGCTTTCAGAAAATAACCAAAATTTGCGACCCATGCTTTTTTAGATGGTCAAGTTTCACGATTTTTTAAAACTTTCAAAACAATCCTCAGAAGGAGTTCAAGTAAAGATTCGGTAGAGTAAACCTTACAAAATACAATACTACTTTTTTCTTTTTCTCGTAGCTCGCCGTAGTTTTTTAAAAGATTTTTTACCAGAACCATCGGATTTTAGCAGGCCCACCTCAACCACAGTCGCATCAAACATCAGTAATTACTCGGAATTTCAAGCTTTCAAGATGATATATGACTTAATATTGATTTTATAAAGCAAATGAGAGTTTATGGGTTCGAAATATCAAATTTCGAATTTTTTCGGGTACAGCCTGGGGCTCGCTAAAAAAATGAGTTATGATGATTTCTCCCGGAAACTAAACGAATCTGAAACAAAAAACACCTGTTGGAAAGAGGAGAAAATGCTGCATCGAATAGTGCGCGAGCTGCTCTTCTTTTGATGTTCTATGAGGATTTAGCTGCCCAAGTATAGAAATCGGTAGCATCAGTTAAAATTCTGTTAAAAATGTAGGACAAGCTATGGAAAGGAGAAAAAAGTAGTTTCGCATTCTGTAGGGTTTGCTCTATAAAGGCGTCACTTGTACTTTTTCGGAGGGTTGATATAAAAGTTTTAAAAAATTGTGAAACTTGACTATCTCAAAAAGCACAGGTCGCAGATTTTGGTTATTTTCTGAAAGCTCATTGGCAGTTTTGCAACAATTTCATAACCATTAGAAAGAGAATGAAATTCTGCATTGAATGCTTCTAAGATCTCTTAGAAAGCTTTGTTCCTTCAAATCTGGTGCCCGTTTGAAAAAAGCGAAATTACTTTTGAAACGACCTAATATATTAGGTTGTCCCAAAAGTTCTTGCGCCGGATTTTCAAAAAAATCATAACTTCCTTTTTTCCCAACGGTTTTTCTCAAAATTATTTTTGTATGAAAGAGGAAACCTTTTTCTTTATAGCGGTGCCTTTGCCGTGAATTAGCTTTGGTAAGTTCAAGAGTCAAAAGCAATTAACGAAAATTAGTCAAGATCGACATTTTTCAAGCTAGATCACGAAAAATTCTGGAAGTATTTTTGTTTGATAGAGAAAACTTTGCACATTACAATGGTACCTTTTTCATAAATTAAAACGAAGTAGATCGAGAGTTAGAAGCAAATAAACAGAATTTTTCACTTTTGCAATTTTTGAACATACTCAAAAAAGCTTGAAAACGTCACAGAAAAGGCGAAAAAGTCATAAACATGGGTTTTGCGACCTTCCCTTTCTAGCTGGACGAAAATCGTGCCAATCGGGAGCAATTTTGGTTTTCGTGATTTATTCGGATTTTTCGGGCCTGCTTTTTTCACGAAAATTAAAATTGCTTCTGATTGGCACGATTTCGCTCAGCTAGAAAGGGAAGGTCGCAAAACTCATGTTTATGACTTTTTCGCCTTTTCTGTGACGTTTTCAAGCTTTTTTGAGTATGTTCAAAAATTGCAAAAGTGAAAAATTCTGTTTATTTGCTTCTAACTCTCGATCTACTTCGTTTTAATTCATGAAAAAGGTACCACTATAATGTGCAAAATTTTCTCTATCATAAAAAAATACTTCCATAATTTTTCGTGATCCAGCTTGAAAAATGTCGATCTTGACTAATTTTCGTCAATTGCTTTTGACTCTTGAACTTACCGAAGCTAATTCATGGCAAAGGCACCGCTATAAAGAAAAAGGTTTCCTCTTTCATACAAAAATAATTTTGAGAAAAACCGTTGGGAAAAAAGGAAGTTATGATTTTTTTGAAAATCCGGCGCAAGAACTTTTAGGACAACCTAATATAAATATATTAGGTTGGTCCGAAAGTTCTTGCGCATCATTTTCAAAAAATCATAACTTCCTTGCCATTCTATTAATTTCGTTATAATTATATCCATTCGAAAGGGGAATCCATGCTCTTTACAGTAGTACCTCCATCATGAATAACTTTTGAAAACTTCAAGAGTTAGAAGCAGTTTAATGAAGTCGGTCAAGATTGGCATTTTTCGAGCTGGGTCACGAAAAATTCTGAAAGTATTTTTATTCGATAGAGAAAATTATGCTCATTACAATGGTACCTTTTGCATGAATTAAAACGAAGTGGATCGAGAGTCCGAAGCAAATAAAGAAAATCTCTTCATTTTTGCAGTTTTTGAGCATGATCAAAAAAGCTTGAAAACGTCACAGAAAAG